AGGCAGCTAGTCATCACCACCCACCGCCAACTCTTGGGCTACTCTTTCACCAACGATGTGATTGATCGTCACATTATAAAGGGCCCGGCATGGCCAGGTGGTTAGGGCGCTCGGGTTCGAATCCCCATCCCACCAAACATGCTCGCCCTTTCAGTCGTGAATGTGACGGTCAATCCCACTATTCGTTGGTAAAAGAGTAGCCCAAGAGTTGGCGGTGGGTGGTGATGACTAGCTGCCTTCCCTCTAGTCTTACACTGCTAAATTAGGGACGGCTAGTGCAGATAACCCTCGTGTAGCTTTGCACGAAATTCAAAACAAACAAACAAACACGTTATAAAGCTCCCACGACTGAAAGGGCGAGCATGTTTGATGACATGGATTCAAACCTTCGACCCGCAGTTTGTGAGTCTAGCGTCCTAACCACCAGGCCATGCCAGGCTGGAGTATTTTACATACAACATTGTGTTTTATATTCTATTTTAATGATTGTGAGTGTTACTTATAAAGTAACAATTGCGAGAAAAATCATGGATAAGTATGGAATTGAAAATCTACGTTAAATTTCTGAACTAAATTTTGGCTGGTTTATTATTAGTGACTTACGCGAATTTTATTATAGGTTGAAAAAAGTCAAAGCCCAGGTAAAGAAAGTAATGATTTTTTATATTAGTTAAAGATCACTAAAATTAGATTAAGAGGGAGGTGTTATTAACTAACTGAGAAATTTTGTGTAAAGCTACATAAGGGCTATCTGCGCATAACTGTCCCTAGTTTTGAACTGATAACCTAGAGGAAAGGTAGTTAGAAAATAATATCCACCGCCAACTCTTGGGCTAATCTTCTATGCTTGAATAGAGGGATTTGACCACCACTATTATAGTGTACCTATGGCCCCAAAACATCGAAAACTTCTTTGTGGCAAGAGACCTGAACCATAGACCCTTGGATTTAGAGTGGACACATTCTAACCACTACGCCATGCCCGGTCGGCTAAATATATACAAAATTCAAATCAATTTAAGGGTAGAAGGTGCGCGCTCAGTAATTTTTCAAATTTTCGTATGTTGCTCAAGTTCCAACTTTTCTTTTGGAAAGAAGCCATTACTGCACAGTCATTATGATTTGATTTTCATAAGTTTTGTTAAGATCCGAGAGTCCTTATCTAAAGAGATGGAAATGGACTCTTGTTCCCAAGTTCTACTTTGTCTTTGTTCTATGTTGCCCTACTAATCCACGTCATCAATCTACTAACGACAAAAAACTGGTAATCAGGCTCTAGTACAGCCAAGCAGTAATGAATTAGTTACCGAATGACGCTACGAACAGATACAAACAAAAAGATTGATACTGAAGATACGTTTTCCTGATTGTTTCAGATAGAGAACAGATACAAACTAAACACCATAGTTAAACTAGTCCCGCTTAAAATAAGAAATGATACCAAATCAATTAAATAAGTCTTCCAGTTGATTCAAACAAATGTATTCAAACTAGGTACTAAAGTTAAGCCACACAAAAAACAATTGATTAACCTTTGGTAAATGCTGGTCAAAGATCAAGATGTGTATTAATGTAAAGATTAGAGTGAAACATACAGATATTTTTATTGTTTACTTCAGATGAAAACGACCTGGACTTCATCTGTTGTGGAATTCCCAAAGAACAACAGCACCCTAATTGTATGACTATCGATATTCCTCCTGATGACCCTTTCTATGCTCGCTACGGACAGACGTGTATGGAGTTTAAACGCGTTCTAGCCGGTCATAGACCTGGTTGTGCTCTCGGTAGGTGGTGTTTATCTGTTTCTTGTCGTGCATTACCTTTAATATATATATAAAAAACATTGTTGATAAAAGTAAAAAAAAAGGTAACAATAAACTGACAGTGAATACTGATGAATAGAACTTTCACAACACCTTGATGTAGCTCAAACTTCTCTTCTATAGTTAAGCCTGTCTTTGCCAAAGAAATGACCATCTTTAGAAGTGTTCCAAATATATCACGGATTTGTTTGCTCAGACTTTTATCATTTTGTAACCAACTTAAAATACCAATTATATAAAATTTAGAATAGTTTAATACCAGAAAATGGCTAGACCTGGTTTGTATTGATCAATATGATAATCCAATAAGATTCACTAATACAATGGTTACATTTCAAAAAGTTGCTTTGTTTGTCTTGTTTTATTTGTGTGTGGGGTTGGGGAATTCTTTAAACTATTTTCCGATAGTTTATTCTGATATCTGGGCTTTTGTAGGTCCAAGAGTACATATTAACCTTCTGACCCAAACATTGGATGCTAATTTCCTGTATGGTTCAACAGAAAAACTAGCCAGAGAACTTCGACTTGGTAAAGGAGGTAAGCCTAAAATATATATATGTATACAAACTTATAAAAGGTTTCTGATTTGCTAGTGGGAGAAACTTTTTAAAAACAACCTACCAAAGGTCTCTGAAGTGGTGTGATTACGTTTCAAAAAACTATTAGTAGGTATAGGTAATAAGAATTTAAACAAAGATATCCTAAAACTACTGACCAGAGGTCTCAGACAAATTAAAAGAGGTATAGATCTTTAGGTAATTAACCAGAACCCTCTGAGGTCTTTAAAAAATACTGTCTAGAGAAGATTGGCAGGTATGCGGCATTTTGTGAATATAATGTATGTTTGACTGTAGGTGAAGATGATCAATAAATCCTATGATAAAAAATTAGATGGTTGAGGGGTCTGACCAGAGGATTATGACGTGCAGAAGAAATGAGTAGGTGCAGTAAAAGTCTACAAAGAGTTATTATAGTATGCAAGGATAGTGTATGTTTTCTCTCTAGAGTTCAAATTAAAACATTCAAAATTTTCATGCATTTGCTTGTTTGTAATTAAGCACAAAGCTACACAATGGGCTATCTGTGCTCTGTCCACCACGGGTATCGAAATCCTGATTCTAGCATTGTAAGTCTGCAGACATACCGCTGTGCCACTGGGGAGCATTTTCATGCATACATATGTTTATAGCTATAAAACGTTGATTAAGAAAGTGGCTAAATACCTTTTGCCTTAGTTATCTATTGTTTAGTGTCATTCCCATACAGCATCATTCTCGTAAGAAAATATTCTATAAAACTTAATATACTTGGCAAAAAGTAGACACAATCTTTTCCACTTGTGAGTGTAGTGATACCTCAAAGACACGACCTCTCTTATTTTTTTACATTGGGAATGGCCAACAGTGACGTAAGTTGCGATGACGTTTGTTTGTTTTTTATTCTGGAGCATATTCTAGATTTTGGAAATCTACTTATACCCAAAGCTTTCAACTCCAGTAAAGGCTCTTCGTAAGTAAATATGTTTGTTTGTGTTTGAATACTGAATAAAGGTTGTTCACTGTGTATTATATTGTGTTCAGACTCTCTCTTTCATAACTCAGTGAAAGTCAGAGAACTTAGAGTTACTCCGTGATACATTTCCTGATCGAACCCCCAGTTATTCCATAGATCCTACCCGTTTACACATAAAGGAAATCAGTGCATTATTAACAAAATTTAAAGATAATTTTGCTTTACAGTGTGTCACAGTAAAACAGTAGCAACAATAGCAACAACAAAAAAAGATAAAGATTATTAACAGCATAAAGTTACTGGAATTTCTCACATACAAACAAGAAAAACTAAAAGCAAGATCCAACGATTCTTCTGTTGTTTCAACCTGGCCCTCCAGTGACACAGCGGTATGTCTGCGAACTTACGACGCTAGAAACCGGTTTTCGATACCCGTGGTGGGCAGAGCACAGATAGCACATTGTGTAGCTTTGTGCTTACCTTCAAACAAACAAATTTCAACCTTATAAACACCGGAAAGCCAATTAGGCCTTCTGTAATTGGCAGCGCCTTTAGGCCTAATTGTTGGAGTTTCAATTATACTGCAGATTACACCAAATTTATTTATTTGAGGATTGCAGTGGCGAGTGGAGCTTACAAGTCGCTACTCGAGGTAATTTACAGTTAGAATAAAGAAACTGAGTCTTTCAGTTAATAATATAATAGTCTTTATTTTGCGATACATAATCAACAACAATATTAAACGTAAGCATATAGATAAATTCTCTAATTTATCAATTCACTTATTTAGCAAAAAGCTTCATTTTATCTCGTGTAAGCCTTCTACTAATAATCAGCTACACATGATAAGTTTTCTTAAATCTTTCTTACTGTAATTACATTGATTGGAGCTTGAGAGTCAGAAAAATTTAACTTACAACATAGTAAACGAGGTGTATCTTTGCAGGTTAGTTACTTTCAACATCATCTTAGAGCAACTGCTGGAAATTCCCGAGAACTTAATAAGAACTCGTGAGGAGGCTCAATTTCTGACTCAAACATGAGTTTTAAACAATTTTTCCTTCGTGTTCCTACGAATTCCCAAATAGTATGCAGCACTACCCGCAAGTAGTTCTCACATCTTATTGGTTAATTCTTATAATACATTGGACTGTTCCAAAACTATAACCAAAACTCTCAAGTGATTGGTTACTGTTATGGAGGGTTAGCTGGATGCCTTCTTACTTGTGCTAGTACACCAGCGTTGTGTAAGGAATATATCATCAAAGTACCGCTTTTGCGTGTTAACGGCAACTTTTTCGTAGCCTCCATAGTACTAACGAGTTGGCGTCAGTAATTAATCACCATCAATCACTGATACTAGTGCATATACTTCGTTGCTAGGCAATAGCTTCATTTTTTATAACTCTTTTTGTAACTTATGATTCTCAATACCGCTACTCTCTAGTTTTCTTGACCAAACATATTTTATTCATCCTCTAACTAGTGATCTTAGGCTACTTTTACTTCCTCTATTTACCGACCTAGTTTTTCAACAACAGCGTCGTTTCTTACGCCATTTTATTAGGTATACATGGAGTACACTCTAACTTTATTTCCTTATATTTTGTTTTCACTCTCTCAAAAAAATGTCTTAAACTTGGAAATTGCCTTGAAGCAATTGCACGAATTCCTCAAAATCCTCAATAGCTTCACTTCTATACACATGGTAGTACTTGGAGAGTTAAGTGTCTTATACCCTAACGCCTAAAACCTACAGCGAGATTGTTTCTGAATCTTTTTATGTTTCATAAAATAAATGAGGCTCTACTAGTATGTAGATATAACGCAATGTTTTTTACAGTAAAATCTCCTTATATTCTCATTGTAATAAGATATGTTCTAAATTACCAACAAAAAATAAGATAAAATTTCAAACACCGGGGTTATTTTACCACTTCTGATGTAATATGACTTTTTTAGGGCTCATGCGAGTGTCTGACTATTTCCATGACTACGGACTGAAACCCTTGCTGCCTCCTTTGTCTTCTACTCCTGAAAAAGACTGTACTGCCCGACCACGTCACTTGTACTGTTTCAATGCCGGTAGGTGGCAGGAAGTGATAATAAATAAACGAAATAGTTGGATTAATACTTCTAAGTTAACACTTGGTAGAAATATACATCTAACTACCACATATTAGTGTAAAACTTTCTGTTCTAGTGTACTAAGGTTCCTGGCGGAAGCCACAAACATATTCTAGATTGCAATTAAAAAAATAAGGATACATTATTCACTTTGGTATTTTTGTTTTAGTATAATGAATATATTTAAATATTTTTTCTTTCAATGAATACAGAGTTATAATATATGAAAATGACGCTTGAAATTTAAAATGTAAATATGGGAATAACTTGTGTTTATAATGTTTTTAACGCTAGTTCAAAATTTGTAACATTATTACATCTGGGAAAACAACTATTTTAAAACTAAAATTGGAAGAAGATCGCTGACGTAGCACCTCAGGAGAAGAAAAATAATGAAAAAAGCTTCAGATGTTCGGAGATAACGTAGACACAGAACTTCATAATTCCGTGTAGAGCAGGACAGTTTTGAATGAATTACAATTGTATGTTCTTTTCTTCTTGTTAAAAGGTGATGAGCGGGTCAATGAACAGATCCATTTGACTGTAATTCACACAATGTATGTTCGCGACCACAACCGAATAGCTACCGAACTTTCCCGACTGAACCCGCACTGGAACGATGAGAGGATTTACCACGAAACACGTCACATCATAGCAGCCTCTGTGCAGCATATTACTTATACAGAGTTTTTACCCATGATTCTTGGCGAAGAGATGGTAGCTCGTCACAACTTGACCGTAAAAACTCACGTAAGTATTTTCTTAGTATTAAAGTTTGAAATGCAAACTAATTAGTCCAATATATTCGAGAACGGCTTAGCTATATCTTGCTGGATCAGCTTATTTGTTTTGGCGCAAAGCCACATTGGGCTACCTGTTGTATCCATTGCAGGAAGTCGAACCTCGGTTTTCAGCATTGAAAGTCCGTAAATTTACCACTGTCTCATGGACAATGAGATGCCTGTGCTGTGCCCACCACAAGTATCGAAACCCAGTTTTAAGAAGTGTGAGCCTTCAGATTTATCGCTGAGCCAGTGAGGGGCTACTGGAGTGAATAATTTTGTTCGAGAATTAATTTATGATTAACAAAATAAAACACCCAAAGCATGCTAAAGGCTGAGTCTCATCACACAACTGTTGTTATATTTGTACATTATGTTATTTTGACTTACATAATAACTTCATAGTTCTCGCACAAGTGTGCACAATTAAAAGAAGCTGGTTACTATTAGTTTTTAATCAAACAATCATCCAATTGCTAGGCCTTTTTTTGTGTGTGTACTTATGTCTTATGACAACTTGCCAAGAATATACATTCAGTTACAGTTGCAATCTTCGGTTGGGGATGAAATCGGAATATAGAAACTTCTAGAATATAATCTGACTCCTAGGCGCCGAGTGCGTGAGGGACCAGAGTAGAGGTAACGGGGCCCAGTCCCCGAAAAATGTACAACACGTATTTTTTATTATAAGATGTATTCAGTGATGTAGAACTGGAAGAACGCCCTAGACTTTAAATTTGGGTGTGTATTTGGTCTTAGACACGCTGCTTCAGCTGTTCATATGATTACATATTAAATATTCTCAATTTAGGGGCAAACTGAAAAAATCCCTCATGTCTCACAGTGTCCCAGAATTGTAGGATCAAGTTTTAACTCTAATCGGGAAAATCCGGCCCCTATGGCCTGACTTCCTACATATCTATATATGTATGTACATACTGTTTAATTAGATATGGGGACATTCAGTTAAAAGATAAGTTTTTGTTTACTGAATTTCCAGATCTAATGGTTTCACATAATTACATTTTGTATACGTTTAGCTGTATCTACAGGATTTTCATTTAGATTTTTCTAAATACTTAAGTTGCCATTGGTCCGTGGTATAATTTATCTAACGAAATCACCAAAAATCACCCCAGCATTCGATATCTTATGTGAAAAACGTCTATTATCTTTCACACATGCGAGTTTTCGAAATAAATATCTTGAATTTTTAGATTTTATCAAATTAGCGTAGATATTTTATCAATTTTTCAATTTTTGCTGACAACGCTTTACAATAATAAAATACGATTAAAGTGAAAATATGGATTCAAAAACCTTATATAAATATGGATTCAAAAACCTTATGTAAATATGGATTCAAAAACCTTATGTAAATATGGATTCAAAAACCTTATGTTTGATTCGGAAAAGTACATCAAAATATTTTTCGGAAAAAGAATTGAATTATCTGCTTTTGTTTATTTACCTTTTTTTGTAATGCTGACGAATATCTTTATTTATTTTAACACAAACCATCAATATGTGTGTATGTTGACTCAACTTTTAATAAGTTCAGCAGTAAGCGTTCTGTTGATCACTCAATTTAGTTTTTGTTTTTGTAATTTATAATAATATTCGATTTTTGTTACAATCATATATTTTTTGTAACTTTTCTTCGAATGTTCTTAATTGATTTCGTCATACATCAAAAGGAAACCTGAACTGGTTTCGTCACATATTAAGGGTGACAGTATATTTCTGTATCCATTTTACTATTCTATAAAGTCGCTTTTTGTTTCCAAACTTAAGTATATATTTATCTGTTATAAAGTTATTCTTGTACTTGCTTGAATAACGTATCAGGTTTTATCAATAACTATAATCAACTTTACTGTCATCAGTTTCATTACATGAAAAACATTCGTGCAAAGAATTTGACCACTATGTGTGTTGTTCGATAACTCCATTGCTTATTATTAACATCTAGGGTTATTGGAACGGTTATGACCCCAATGTACACATGGGAATGTCGAGCGGTTTCCAGTCGGCAGCTTTTCGGTTTGGACACACCTTCATTCAGGGTATGGTGCGAAGGTACAACAAGTTTCACGAATTTGTGGGTAAGAGATAGGTGCTTTCTCTGTCCCTACATTTTATTTAATAAATATCGCACTACTGGTGAATTATATGCTGAAATTATAGTATGAAATGGGTAAAAAAACATTTAAATATAAAAGCTGTTATTTTAAAGTGATTTAAAGCACTATTTACTGCAATTCTGAGTAAATATAAATGATTTTTCAGATAATAACTAGTGTTTGTATAGCTTTGCGCGAAATTCAAACCAAACCAAACTAGGGTTCGTTCGCTCTCCAATTAAGGTATGCTATTTTTTATTTTTGTTCCTTTCATTAAGTATTGGTTACACTAGTTACTATATAGAATGTTATTATTTTATTTTATTTGTATTTGTCGCTCATTATTATATTTCTATTATAAAGTTTGCACTGTTATCTCGGACTTTGTATTTAAGACTAATCTAAATCTACTAAGTTGGCCGAACCTCGTAAGATATTATTGGGTTTACGGCCGAAAATGTCGTTAACTGACGAAACAATACATTATAATCTTTATAAGTAGTTAATTAGTTATACTGATTAGCCAGGATGATTTTAAATTTCGGTCTAAGTACATAGCCTACTCTGATCGAAAGCTACTTTCGTTTACCAGGGGAAGATCCCCTTCGTACTCTCCTACGTCAACCTTACATTCTCTACGAACCTGGCAAGATTGATGAACTTATTGGTGGTCTTATCAACACCCCTGCTCAAATCTACGACCCTTTCATAACCCAAGAGGTAGGCTAATCTTTATTAACTTCGAGAAAGCAATTACTTATAATACTAAACCAAACAAGTATGTATAAATATGTGAACCTGTATATTCTAATTTCCAGGTAACCAATCACTTGTTCCAAGAACCACCCATGCCCTTCGGAATGGACTTAGTGACTTTCAACCTGATGAGAGGGCGCGAGGTTGGACTACCAGGTTATAACTTCTTTCGGGAATGGTGCGGTTTGGGACGAGCCAGAACTTTTGAGGAACTGGAACCTGTAATGAATAACGGCACTGCCTACAAGTTCGCTCAGTTATATAAGTAAGTCTGTGTCTGAATAATTAGATTTTATATATGATTACAAATTTTCATGAATTACACAATTCTTCAGAATAAGATTAGAACGCATCTCTCTTTTTGCATTACGTATTTAAGTCTTTTATTGATCCATAAGATCAAAACGTGACACATTTAGATTTTTCTAAGATGTAGAATATTTTTTTTATCTGTCATATTTCATTTTACTAACCTTATCGCTCAGTTTTAGTAATTATATTAAACACATTACCTGTAAAAATTCAATTCACAGGTGACCAATGTAACCTCAGTGGACTGTGAATCAATTTATTTATGGTTCGAGTCAAGTTTCCGCAAACACACGCTTTACACTTTAAGTCCTTGATAGAGATATGAGAGTGATGTCCAAATCCCACTCTTCGGTCCTATAAGAGTAGACAGTGGGTATTGTTGACTGGTCTATCAGTTCGAAAATAGTGACGACTATATGCATATAGCGTCTTTTATTTTGCGGTAATGGGACGCGAACCACAAAATCTCAGTTCGACCGTCCCTTACTGGTTAGGGTCACATGATAACAGCAAGTATCAAACCCGGCTCCAGCTTTTCTACTTTGGAGAGAGGCAGTGGAGCTTTTGTGGGGACCATCATACAGTGATATGGATTTATGGGAAAGATAATAAAACACATACGTTTGTTCCGCCCAAGTTGATTCTTCTTGGCCATTAAAAAATCATACACTTTTTTCTTAAATTGATAATCTGATTTTTTAAACCGCTAGGAAATATAAACTTGGGTGGGCCATAGTGAAATTTGCACCCCCTAGTGCCAGCCCTGACAAGTGTAATGTTTACGTAAATCATAAAACGTTATTTTCTTCTTTTGTAGACACCCAGACGACATTGATCTCTGGAGTGGTGGAATTTCAGAGCGCCACGTACCGGGAGGTTTAATTGGACCAACCTTTGCTTGTATCATCGCTCGTCAGTTTGCAAATCTTAAAAAAGGAGATCGTTTCTGGTACGAAAATTCAGATTTTCCATCCGCCTTTACTCCAGGTAACATATATTTCTACAATACAAATTGTTTTCAGGGCGTTTGTCAAACTACGTAATCGTAGTCACGTAAATAAATAAAAAATATATATTCAGTTTTATTACTTAAGCTATGTCAAACATGTGTGCCACCTGGTGACAGTTGATCTCTGTCAGTGGTTCCCAAACTGTGAAATGTTTCAGGGGATTCTCGGGAAAAATTCCTTCATGGTAGAAGCTTTTGTTCGCATCCACCCCCACTGTGTAGGTTATAACTTCAAGACTCCTCATGAGAAATGGATTGGTGAAGATGGTATTGTTTCTGTTTTAAAAATTAAACATACTGCTAGTGTTGTTTTAAACTTAAGATGAAAAGCAAGTTTAGGGTTAATCAAAATGATACGAGTTATGAAAGTAAAATCTTGGAAGAGTGTTGTTGTTTTCATAATGTAATAAAATTCATAATGTAATGATAAATGGCAATGTAATAATAAATAGTGTGTAATAAAAGTGTCACAAGAAAAACAAATTTTATATTTCCAAGATCACTGCTTTTATAATTTATACTCAAGTAAGGGAGAAAATCCCTGGAAAATATTTATTTTTAGGAGGGGGTTCCCGAGATTCGGCATTTTCGTGAAAGGGTTTTGCTGGACGTTAAAGTTTGGGAACCACTGCTTTGTGTGACTGAATACATCATGCTTTATCGGTGGCTATAGTTATAATTCTTTAAATATGTATATCAACCGTTGTGTAGTATTTGTGTTTTATTACAATATATTTAAAAAACAACATTTTAGATTCTTGATTTGATCAAGTAAAATGTCGTTCTTTTTGGAGCAATTAGAGAAAAAAAAAGGGGGGGGTATTATGATTTGGATGTGTTTTGTAAAGTGATAATAAATTGCGAACTTCGTAGAACTATTTACATTGGTTTGTTAGCAAATTTTGCTAACGCAGACTTTGGTTGTGTTTCTGCACTTTCCCATCGAAGGATGACCTAGCATGGCCTGGTGGTTAGCGTATTTGACTCTTAATCTGACCAACCGTAGGGTCGTTATAAGGTGATATTCAATCCAACTATTCGTTGGTAAAAAAGTAACCCAAGAGTTGATGGTGGGTGGTGTTAACTAGCTGCCCTCCCTCAAGTCTATCACTGCTAAATTAGAGACGGCTAGCGCAGATAGCCCTCATGGAGTTTTGCGCGAAATTCAAAACCAAACCCATCGAAAATGTGTGTTTGGACAAGGTTTACACACAAAAACAACTGGAAGCTCTTGCTTTCAACCTAAAGATGTATATAAAGCCTGGTCGGGCTGATGAGAACTGATCTAACTCAGAACTGCAGTTATCAATTGGACATGTATGATAAGGTAATTATTATCCAACGTGAGTAAATGTATTTCACATTACAGTTTATACCAACAAGATTAGAAGAAAACCGTACGCTAGAAGTTTAAACAGTCAAAGTCACAATCTGTGAAAGAGAAGAAAGATGTGTGTATACCACACCAAATTGTCTCTCGCGCTCGGATAACATTCTTTGTCATCGATTATAATGGATCTATAAAAGTTGCCATTGCTCGTAACTGCAGCTTCTAGTTAACTCGTAACTGCAGCTTCTGGTTAACTCGTAACTGCAGTTTCTGGTTAATTAATCATCGTCAATACTTTATTATTCATTGTGAGCAAATATGTTTAATGGAATGATAAATAAAAATATTTTTTAACATAATGTTAACCAATTTGCATACAAGATTAACAAATTATTCTACTGAAATTGGTGCTCTTAAATGGTCTTCATTGCAGAACAACTTCAAGAAATTCGAAAATCTTACCAGGCTAGAATTTTCTGTGAAAATGCTGATGACATGCCTACCATCCAGCTTTACGTCATGAGGCTCCCTCACCCCATTTAGTGAGTAATTGTTTTCTTTAAATTTTTGCTAATTATAGAAATATTTTTTTTAGATTTATATTTCCATAAAACTTTTTTCTGTATATGCAAGAATTACATTTATTATGAACTTTTTGATATACGTAAAATAAGGACTGCCAGTGAGTGCCCTATTTGTATGCAATGTTCACAATAATGTGCTTATATATATTATAGTAATTGTTAATCAAATGTTCCATTAACACTGTTGACCTATGAGACTTTCTGTTGTTTAAAGTGTGGTTGAATTAACTTTAAAATTACGAAATTTACTAAAACACGTTATTTTTTTAGTAATCCACGCATGCGCTGTGAGGACATCCCAAATATTGATCTCCGCTTCTGGCAAGAAGATCCAGTACACGGCGGTTATCCTTTCAAGAAATAGATATTTTTTAAACAAGGGGGATTTAATTATGACCCAGACTACCAGTGCTTATACAGATATAAATATTTTATAATACCCAAGAGAGCAGCAAAGCATTCTTTTAGCCAGTGAATGGTGAAAAACAAGAATCACTCGTGAGATATAACCTTTTTAACGGTACATAAATGTCAATTATTGGATAAGTATAAAATTACAGTTTTCAGTAAAGTGATTAAACGTATTACTAGTTAGAGTTTACATTAATGACTTATTTCTAGTTCACTGGTTGCAATGTAATATTACGCTTTAATACAGACCTTTAAAATCTTAGTTTTGTATTGATCAAATTATATATTTATATAGGTGTGTTTATATATAAAATTACATTCTGATGAGACTTCTTATTAAGTGACTTTGATGACATTTCGTTTCTTGTACCTGAACCTTCCTTTTGACCAATTTTAGAATCGAAACGTCCTCACTGACAAAATGGAAAGATTAAAAATATTAGTGAATTAATATTTCTAAGTTAATAAGTATTATTGCGGGTACTCGGGAATATTACCTTATGCATCTATCATCTAATACTAAAAAACGAATGGCTAATAACAAATCTGGGACCTCTAGTAACTGACTACTGTAAAACATAACGCACCAATCTGTGGTACTTGTAATACACTATAGGTTAAACTTCTGTATTTTAAGGATTAGGCAAACAACATAATCTGAAGTATACGTCTGTACGCTTACCTAAATTAATAAACACTTGTATCAAAAAGAACTGTCATACAAGTTCTGAAGTTTCCACTACCTAAAATACTGTCTGATTTCTACTGCACTTGAAGTTACGTGTGTGTATTACAGAATTATTCAATTATACTCTTATATATGTACAAATAAGGTGTTTTTCATGCAAAAAAAACTTATTTTAGAACAAAAAGGTTTGTTTCAGTTATTTACTATAAGCAGACCAGTTTAGAGAGAAAAGTGATAATTCTAGACGCATAGCAAGATCACAAAGGTAATGGTATTTTTATAAGCTGTCATGAAATATGTTGTGGTACTGCCTTAAATGCAGGTGTTTATTCTTTTACTTATGAAAACGTGTTCTTATCGTACGTTTTCAAACCGGTAACGACGTCCTAGAAGAACTTAGATTTAAATATGTGTTCACCATTAAATCAGCGGTTGTCAGTTTTTTTCAAAAACCTCAAAATCAGTAATAGTAAAAAAGACATTTCGTGAAAAATTACCTGTGAGTGGAGCTATTAGACAAGTTACATAAAACTTCACATAGAATGAGTATTATTAGCGTATATAATTGGTGTAAACTAGATGTTTTTGCAAGACAAACTGAACACTATAATCAAGTAAAGCTATACCCCCCTCTATTTTAAAAAATGTAGCCACCAACACGTAAAATCGTTCCCAGAAACTGTAAAGTGTAAAGCAGTTTCTTCTATAATAAAATGTTTGATCTTTGAAGAAGAAACCAAAAGAAACTAATGTGCTTCAGTAGTTTTAGATGTATGATTCTTTTAATAAACAGAGCGGGTGAAGGGGTGGGGGTAGTCTTTTCGAAGAAAAAAAATCTGGTCTTTTTTATACACAAAGAACTTAAGTGACTTACAAGAAACTCGAGTTAAAAAATCAGATGATAATGAACCTTTTAGAATGTTCAGGTGGTCGTTTGATCCCCCATAGCTACATATAACAGTCAAAATGGCTGAAAAGTTTACTGATTACTCTCCTCACTGATAGGGACAATAAATTAGCTCTCTAATTTTTTTATTTTGTTAACGGGCTACGCAAAGTGACTATGATTTTGTTACCTGAGAAGTAAAATATCGACAATTAATTGTAAATATTTTTAAATGAGCAGTTTTGTTTACTGAAAAAAGCAACTATTTTCATGACTCTTTGAGGGCATATTCACAGTACATTGAAAACATTCTGAACTTCCAAGTGTGTATTTATCATCACATCGGTACTGTTCTTAGCAGCTTTTCACGCATCTTGGGTTCTCTTGGATTTTATTTTCTGAATTTAACTTTTAGAACTTTTAAAAAAGCAGATAAAGAATCAGAACGTATGTACATTTGTTTTGTGGAGTTGATACTAAACATACAAACTTTATAAAGTCAATAGATGTTAATTTTCTTATACCTACTTGTGAGCTTATTCCTGCTACGGCCATGTACTCGTGTTGCTTCTACAACACGCGGATTCCATTAAATGTTGCTTTTTTACAACAATGTTTCTTATCTTGTAAATATCACGTGTAATCTTCAGACTTTTTCATTATTAAGTTTTAAACGTCTTAGATATTGTTTTTAGAAGTTTTCCCTTGAGATTTCTTTATGAACCTTTTATTTGTTTCGTACGTACTTTACGCTGAAAAATGAGAAGAAGAAAAACATTTAATCAGCGAAAAGAATAATCATTTTAAAACAAATGTTTGCAATCCTTATACCTTACCTCAAGTTAACACCTTATCATGTTTTCAGTGTTGTGTAAATTTGCTCTTTTATTTCACCAAGTTCAAGCCTTGGGTATATGATTAGGTATGTTCTGGTGAATTAAAACAAAACTGCCATTTAAATTTCTCTGAGATTATTTACTATATTTTGACTAAAACACAAGTAACAATGGGAACTTTGGCATTAAAATGTTTGTTTAGATTTTCCTTTCTGGTGACTTGGATTGATATGTAAATACTGGTGGAGTTGGTTGGTGGACGGGTTAACTTTTCTATTACATTTTTGCCTCTAATTTTGGTCTTTTAAATTCGTTATTTTAAAAAAGCAAATATACGAAACAGTGTATTTTAAAGCTAGAGTCCTTGACAGAAACAGTTAACTTTCTCTTACATTGACAGCACCACATACAGCCAGATTTTGTCTAGGTACCTTACTGTGTTCATTTCAGTAAATAAGGTTCATTCAGTTTATTCTATCATGCATGAAGAGGTTAAGCCTATATTTATCTATGAAAATACATTACTTTCCTAGAAAAACTTTCAAAATAATGTCTTGATATAGATGTACAAGCGTTGATTACCCTATGATAAAATGTTAGTATTTTCAGTTGTTGATTTTTTGTATTTGTTTTTAGAAGTTGTGAATAAAATGTTTCATTGGGAAAATATTTAATCAAGTTGTGGTTTTAGTGAATTCTAAAAAAAAAATGAAATGAAGATTATGGTGTCGGGATTAGTCCTGTATAAAAATAATTTTAGATAAAACAAATGAAGTATAGTAATCTGTAGAATATAAGACTTGTTTAGAATAAAACAGTTCTTGCAGCGTTAAAATTTGTCAAATTCACAGAATGACAACTATATATTGACATTTTTGCACCACATCGCCAATCACCATTATCTAGAGAAATATGAAATGAAGAGGGGGAGAAACTGAAAATTGTAGACGGTACATCAGATTTAGTCTTTACTTCAGCTCGTTGACAGTCAGACATCACGATACACCCTTTCCTTTGAAATTAAATGAAAGTTTAATGAAGTGGTTAGAGGTTTTGTTAACAATCATAAAATTATTGACATCTAATAAAAAAAAAGTTAAACATCTCGATAAATGTTTGTGAAATTGTGTAATTTTCTAGCGAAATAAATACGTGGTTTTCATCTTAGAAACAACGTGTACCTTAACAAACGCGTAAGATGGCGCTGTAGATAGGTTTACAGTAATAGTATTTTTTCCTACAAGGTTTCGAAACGTTTGGAACCATGGGCATTACAACAAATTTTACATAATGTGTTCCACATGTTGTCCTTGTAATATGAGACAAGTATGGATTAACTCGACCTTCTCGTGTTTCAACAGCACCATAATCAGTCACGTATCAGAAATTAAGAAAAGCTGCAAATCACCAATGGTTTCACACTTTTCGGATACCCTGTTCTGTGATTAGTGGATATGTAGACATACAGAAAGAGAGAAATAAAAGGAAATGTCTATTAAACTAGCCGCTAGATGTCGATAACTTGACTCAAGATTGGCTCAAAAACATTCTACGCACTCAATTTCCAAAACAAAAAATATATAAGTTTTGTAACTTTTCTCCCAAATTTTGGATTTATAATTGTTAATGAACATCAACGCATTAGGCAGCTTTTTGCATCGAAAAAAAAATCAAATATAAATCAGTGGAGATGTGTTTTTAGATATATTATTGACAGACTTACAAAAACAAATCACAGTTATATATGTAAATATTAATATTACAACATTCTTAGCCTCGTCTTTCACGGTAGTAAATTCAGTGGTGCAAGTTATTTTTCATACATTTTGGATATACTGTTTAATGGTTTTACTGAAAATTTCCTGGGAGTGTGGAAAGATGATCCTTTGTAGCTGTTTGAAGAACCTTGTGCAGTATTAAACGTTTGAAATTCTTTATTAAATTATTTAACATTGGAAATAAAAATAAGAGAACTACAATAACAATATAATGCGATAAAAATGATTACACTAGTGAGGTGGTAAGGATAAAGTGAAATAATAGACGTAAACTCTATAATGGATATTTCTTTTCGGCTACATATGTGGTACTTAAGATTGAATACAATGTCTCTCGATAGATGGCAGCGTTATCCAATAAATTGTATTGTTGATCGTAACAGTCACCTGATACAATGACAAATTATAAAAAAAAATTACACGTGCAATTTTCCAATAAGAACTGTGAGATAGCAATAAATATAGGAGAGTCGGATTTTTAGAAACACTATCCTTTAATGAATGTTTAGAAAGTGCACATATTTCATCTTTACCATCTGAATATATAAAGGTACCACGTATATATTCAACACACACGTTTACAAATATAATATAGATTTTCTTCCGGAAATTCGAGGAGCATTGGGTTATGTAACTGGGAAAAAACTGTTTAATATTACTTAGCCTGATCAACTTGTTTCTGTATTAAAAGCATTCTTTTTTATCTTACGGTTGGTGTTCGAACGTCACGTGATACTGTCCTGTTTTTGGATTTTTTTCATGCCT